GCCCGATTGCGTGATCTTTGGTACATTTTAACTACCAGCTTTCTCTCTCTCTCTCTCTCTCTCTCTCTCTCTCTCTCTCTCTCTCTCCCTCTCTCTCTCCCTCCCTCCCCTCCCCCCTGTCTCTCTCTGTTCTCATTTTTCCTTCCTCACACGTCTAGACTCCAGTGAGTTGAAGTTGATATAATTACTAGCACATATTATTTACACACATACGTACCCACATACACACATACACACACACACACACACACACACACCCACATACACACACACACACACACACACACACACACAAACGCACACATACATATATATTATGAGCCATGATAATAGACTCTCACTCCTGGTGCCTGTTTCAACTTCTCATCCTCAGGGTAGACAACGTTGGAACTACTCAGTGTACAAGTGTACGCTGAATTCACGTAGAGTTGCTTGCCCATGGAGGGGCGTGGCCCGCCCACTCTCACGAACGGAACCTCCCCAGTGATAGAAATACTTCCGGAAAGCCCTCGGGGGTTGTCGCTGCCTTCAAACTTGTTGGCGATGGGTAATAGCAACTCCAACGCACGTCCGCCGTTCACCATATTGAAATCTGCAAGGGAAAGGGTGGGTGGTGGTGAGGAGGGCATTGCTATAAAAACTCGTACTGAAATCACCAAAAGTGTGGGTTTTTTCAATTGTAAGTAAATGCTTTAGGCTATGTACCCATAGACACAAAAAAGATCATTTATGAGATAGACTGCCCGCCAGGACCAATCCAAGCTGAGATGAATGCAGCCTCCCAGTAGACAGAGGGAATACTTGATTTAAATTAAATCCCACTTGGAAATTATATTCAAGTCTTCTGTGTGCAATGGTAAACGGCCTGACCCATACACCACAGACGAGGGTAACGTATTTCTGGCATAGTACATGTTTGATGTTCCTTCCAAAACTGTGATTCTATGTTTTAGAGTCAGGACCTTTCTAAATATCACTGTGATAAGAGCACCCTTCTTTGATAGGTCCGATGAGAGTAGAGAGCCACATAAGATTAAAATAATGTACAAAAATACTTTATTGGGGATTCGAGTCAGGGTCAACCTCACTAAAGTTCAGCATTATACCAGCTACAACGTATATGCATATCTAATTATGATATTTAAGAAGCAATTAAGACTGGCGGTGGCCTGTGATGAGACCGAGAGTCTGAACAAGAGCAGAAAGTCACGTGGCTGAAAAAATAGATTTTAAGGTTCAAATTTCTAATTGTGACCTTCCATAACAGAACTAGAGAGAAAAAAATCGTGTGGACACAGCTGTATCCAAACCTTGTTTCAGCTTTTTTTTAATGATATGTCTCTGTTCTGCACTAAGTCTCTATTAATGATGCTTTGAGGTGTAAAAAGTAAATATATTGACCACGTTTAAAGAAGGTGTTTACAATGCACTTTGTCAAAGTTGAAAATCGTTTGACAGGGCTATTCGACATTACAACTCCATGGGAACCCCAGCTTCCGCGAGATTTTGATATCGAAAGACGTCACGACTTTGGATTCTCAGTTTGGAGCAGCTTCTTACCAGAGATTATTCCTCCCACAGTTAGTGGCGACCCAGTCATCTGTCCTGCACAATGGCCCAGGTCTGTGATCACCCGCAGTGCTCGCCCTTCGTCCAGGGCTGACGTCATAGCGGCCAGGCTGGTGGCTTTGACAACTTGGATGTCCGGGTCATAAAACATTTTCACTGCACCCTTACTGGAAAAAAGAAACAGATCCGAGTCTGAGTTGAAGCAACTACAGTACTTTAAAATGTATCAAGAGACAATTGTCTGAAAAAAACAACAACAACCCTGATATATTTTTTTTAATCTGTTAATGTGGACGTACCTAAGATAGACACACTTATGAACTACTTTTATTTTTCATTCTTCACAACCTATAACGCAAAAATATAAATAAGAAAATATTTTAATTGTAGTTTGTTAAAAAGGTCCAAAGGACATTTCCAAATTTAGTCTTTTTCAAAATGTCATAACACATTCGTTTTGAAAATTACCCACGATTTACCCAACATTGTTACACTCTGGACTAAACGTAAACATGGGTACTGTATCTCTACATACTGTATGTGGAGAATAAAGATACAGTGTCCAGTGTCCATATAATTAGAAGCCAAATTTATATCAGATACAATTAATGTAGAGCTTTCTTTTTCATAACTCCCCTGTTCCTAGCTCTGAATATAAAGATACAGTATCAATAGAAATAGAAGCCAAATTTACTCCAGAAACAAAATTAATTTAATTTTGAGATATTATCTCTGTATTTACATACTGTATCTAAAGATACAATATCGATAGAAGCAAATATTTTCATCAGAAACAAAATCAAACGTTGAGTTGTTTTGTTTTTGTTTCATAACTCACCCATTCCTGGCTCTGTAGAGTTTACACATGTACAGCACTTGGGACCGTGGCTGTTCCTCGTCTCTGAACTTGACGACTCGGATAAACACGCGTCGTCTCAGGTAGAGGGTGTACTCTCGCCGGATGGTCTCCACACCTGGAACAGGTGGAGTCAGACTGTTTTTTATAAAGTTTGTTTATGTTTGTCTATTCGTTTGAGTTTTTAAAAAAAAAGAAAGAGGAGGATGTTCAGGTGTAAATCTTTTTCCTTTTCAAGTTTTGCGAAAGTGTTTTTATTTTTACGCCCCATCGACACAATTTAAATCACCCGAGAGGTTAGCTTCAACTCTGCTTGGCAGGGGCTACAAGGCCAGAAAGGGATACAATTATATATCCCAGCAGAAATAACGAGATATTCGATAAAAATTTCCCCAACTCGGGAATCTAACTCAGGTAGTCAGTCTCCTGTGTGTGACTGCAAAGTACCTAACCGGTACACCTCAGGCGCTGGTGTGAAATGTTCAGTGAAGTACATAATGTACAGTCGAACTTGTCTAAGACAACCATAGAATGTCGAGGAGAAAAGTAATCATCTTAGGTGGTCCTTGTGGACTGAGTCATTATTACATAGTGAAAACATAAGAAGGAGGGGGGGGGGAGTGTTATTAAATGGTTGTCTTTGACAAATGGTTATCAGTTCGACTGAATTATTTTTCAAGCAGAGTGCACCCATTTGCTCCCTCTAAAAGACATTGTATTGGAAGCAAATACTTGAGAAAGGGTGGGGAAATTTGAATCATAATATTTGAATGTTATGCTCTGCCGTCCACTAATTGTTTAAGCTCGTAGAGTGCCACCCAGAGTCTATTAAAATTGTTAACTTGCTTGAGGTACGAAATAAATCGCTGGCGAAGTTATGGTCATATTACACTGTAGCAGTGTAAGGCCCATACAGTTGGATGGAATAACGAGAATCTCTATTTCTAAATTTAAAGTCGGCAAACAGAAGAAGACAGAGATTGTTGGCGTTTTGTACTCTCCCACCAAAATCGTTTGGGAGGCGGGATGCTCTGACCCTGCCTCTTAGGGCCAACTCGGGCAAGGAGGAACACAACAGAGGCACTCACTGAAAACGAAAACTACATAGGTCTGAATTAACCTATAAACAAATATACATAGGCTTCCCTATTGGGAAATCTGTATGCCTTCTTTTTGTAATGTCGATATCTAACTATTAAACCACAGATGCTGGCGAGAAGGAGGCCGAATGAACCCTGAGATATTATACAAAACATCAAGAACTCTCTGAAGACCGACGTGATAAGAGGACTGAGTGAGTGGGGAGAGAGAGAGAGAGAGAGAGAGAGAGAGAACGTTTGTGAGATAGATACATGTAGAGAGGGGGAAGACAGACATATGGGTGGACAGACAGACAGACAAACAGAGTTTGAGAGAAAAGAAGAAACACGCAGATAGATAGATAAATAGATAGATAGATAGATAGATAGATAGATAGATAGATAGAGAGATAGAGATAGAGAGAGAGAGAGAGGGAGAGAGAGAAAGAGAGAGAGAAAGAGAGAGAGAGAGAGATCTCACCATTGTTTCCAACGACGGAGGTTTCCGTGGTGAAAAAGACATAAGAAGATTTTCGACTGTAGTCGTTCCCGTCTTGGCTCACGTAAACGAAATCCTTGACCTTCCCTCCGAACAGGGTTCGACTATCCGCTTCTCGGGGTTGGGGCGAGCACGCTGACAGGTTGACCAAAAAGGACAGCTCACGCCCGGACTTGAGCGCGTGCACAACTTGGATAAAGTTGTCCACCATTACGGGGTCGGAAGGGGGCATCCTGAGTCTGTGATGTGACCTACTTCGGGCTCGGAGCCTACGTCGTCCCGCGTATTTCGTTCGGTTTCTCTTATTATTCCCCTTTCTTCCAGACTTGCCCTTCTTCTTGTTCTTCGTCTTATCCTTCTTCTTTTCTTTTTTTGTCGTTTCGTTTGAGAGGATTTCCTTTTTCGATTTCTTTTTGTTTCCGGGGAGCCGTCCAGCGGCCTGGGGATGTGACGATTTGCTTTTGGGAATTTTTTTCAAGATATAGGGGACCTTGACTTCGGTGATACGAGTTCCGTCCTTTACCTTGTACCAGCCTTCCGTCAGCATCAGTTTGTTTTTGGCTAGAGTCATGGAAACGCCAATACGAATCTGGAAAGGATTGAAAGAAAGTAATAAAGTTAACTGTCAAAAAGAAAAACCAGGCAGCAGGCGAGAGAGGAAGGGGGAGACCTAACCAAAGATATGAACAGGACATAGAAATATGGCTGGGAACCACATTAATTTAATCCAGCAGGCACAATGTTTTGTTGCATAAAGGTCCGGAAAGCAAAGTCCAACCAAAGATAGTTTGGTCCAACTACTGGACAAGCAAAGAAGAAGAAGAAGAAGAAGAAGAAGAAGAAGAAGAAGAAGAAGAAGAAGAAGTTTTGAAACGTCCGTAAGTAATTTCTTTGTATGTTCTTTATTTACATTTTCAGGTAAGACCATTCAATAAAATATACATCGTATTATTTCTCCCCCTAGACATTTTTGGGGGGTTCAAATTTCTCCTGTTTTCAGTTTTGTTTATAGTGCTTCTTTTCACACATGTAGGCCTACTTAAGTCTATTTTAAACCGTAGTTTCGGTTGTAGACTTAAAGTGAAATTACAGACGCGTTATCCTGAAACATCAACATGTTCAGATAAGCTTATTATCTAAAGTACCTGCAGTATATGAGACAGACAGACAGACAGACAGACAGACAGACAGACAGACAGACAGACAGACAGACAGACAGACAGACAGACAGACAGACAGACAGACAGACAGACAGACAGACAGACAGACAGACAGACAGACAGACAGACAGACAGACAGAGTGACATACACACAAACACGCACAAACACACATACACACACACATGCAGTGAGAGAGAGTGAAAGAGAGAGAGAAAGAAAGAAAGAGAGAGAGAGAGAGAGAGAGAGAGAGAGAGAGAGAGAGAGAGAGAGAGAGAAAGGAGAAAGACAGGGAGAGAGAGAGAGAGAGAGAGAGAGAGAGAGAGAGAGAGAGAGAGACAGCTTGGTGAAATCAGGCGCTCGTCAAAATAAGGAAATCAAAGCTGCATTTCTATGGTCGTTGGGACATTTTTTTCAAATTTAAAAACACTTTTAAGCATGGAATTTTACTCAAAATGTTGACCAAAGGCACAAAAACTATTAATTTGCAGTTTCCAAGGACTATCAATCTTTGGAAGTACCGTAACCAAAATTTTGGCGGCCATTTTCTTACTCATTTTACCTCTGTAACTAGGCGACCCCCACCTCCTCCAAGTGCAAATATCTCGACTTCTACTCAAGATAGGTGGGTAATTTTTTCATCAAAAGCAAAGCAAATAAACAGGCTTTAGGATGATACCAATAACTCCATGTGGCAAAAAATTGACGAGCGCCTGATTCCACCACGTCGTGACACCTATGTCTTCTGTGAACACGTGTTGAAGTATCTGAAATGATAGCAACCGTCTCTGTCCCATTTCCTCTTGGTCGGTAAATCAAGAGTGTTTATTTTTTTCTATTTCTTACTTTTCTGTGCTTTGGCAGAGGAAATTTAGATCTAAACAAATATCATTTCATCATTTTTTTCATTAAGTCAAAATGGGAACAATATGACTTCTATAAACATTTGAGGTGACGACACTTCATATAATAATATATGGAATCTGCGTTACTACGAATGTGTAGAATTTGAGCTCCAAAACTGAGGGAAAGTGTTTTACCCGTGTTTAATTTCGTGTGTAGATCTTGACCGCAGAGGGTTATTGGGTATTCACCAGACTGACCCACCCCCCTTTCCACACACACACACACACACAAAACAAAACAAAACCAACAAAAAAAAACCCCCACCAAAAAAACAATCTAAGTAAACTACGCTTCATCAAAGAGAATATTACGTTCGTGTAGAGTGAACGATTTCAGGAGTGGTGTCAGGAAGAATGGAGGAAAAAGAAAGAAAAAAAAAAGAGAGAAAGAAAGAGTGACACACACACACACACAGTCACATACACAGAGAGAGCGAGAGAGAGAGAGAGAGAGAGAGA